GAGAGAGAGAGAGAGAGAGAGAGAGAGAGAGAGAGAGAGAGAGAGATTTATTCAGCACTTCATCGTGAAATCGTCCTATTTTTATACTGATACATCGTGAAGGCAACCGGGGCGGTATGAATGATGACAGCCACGCGGTGAAATCTGTGCAGTGCACACTCATCAAATCATTCAAAGTGTGTGCGTGCGTGCGCGCGCGCGCGTGCGTGTGTGTGCGTGTGTGTGTGCGTGTGCGTGTGTGCGTGTGTGTGTGTATAAAGTGAGCTAAACTAAATGGAAAAGTCTCAGTTGGATGTAGCAGTGAGAGCAATGGGGAGAAGGATTAAGACATTCTTCTTTTCCCATTTGCTGAAGCGGCTAAAACAAGGTGCTGCTTAGAACGCGTTGTGCTCCTGAATGCCGCCCTGCAGGCATCATTACTGATCCCACAAGCGGGCTTAAGCCAAAGGTAATGAGAGTGTAAACTAGCCGCCGTGTTGCCAACAAAGGCGTCTCGGGACGCGCTCCATTGTCTCGGAGGGAATCGTCACCTTTCTCTCTCTCTCTCAGTTGAAACCCGCCGCGGATTGTCTGCGTGCACCAGGAGGTAGGGATTAAGGATGCAGCCCCCGTGGAACAAATGGCGAGGGCGAGTCTGCCAGTGCGGGCCGGAGGCGGGGCCGAGCGACAAGCCCACAATTAAAGATGAACTTTGAGTGAACTAATTTATCTGAGGGAGGAGAAGGTAACGGCAGCCTATAAAAGCGTCGGGCGAGCAGCCCGGAGTCACCGTGACCGACGGACGACTTCACCCGAACCACACCGCGAACTCTCCAGCAAAAAAGGCGCCGCCGAAGCCGCTGCAACATGGCCCTGAACACGCTGCTGGCCACCTTCCTGTGCACCATCGTGCTGCCCATCCTGCTGTTCCTGGTGGCGCTCAAGCTGTGGGAGGTTTACATGATCCGAGGCAGAGATCCGAGCTGCCCGAAGCCGCTGCCCCCCGGATCCATGGGCTTACCTTTCATTGGAGAGACGCTGCAGCTCATCCTCCAGGTAAACGCAAGAACGCGTTCACTGACTGGTAGTCTCACACGTGGATGAGGATTTTCTCCGGGACACTTTGAGGAAATGTGACCAATTTATCTTTCACTTTTTTTTATGGCGTTATCTGTTGTCAAAAACAAACAGCATGTACGATTCTATGTAAATGGAGTAGTTATGATTTAAAAAATAATATGAATAGATAATCTGTGAAATTATCATCGCAGTACTATTGGTTGATTTTAAATATTTTATTTAATTAAAATAAATAATTCATTCAAACGTTTTTTTCTGCATGTGTCCGTGCATACACAGCGCTGGATCCGTGTTGTCTTTGCTCACCATGTTGCGTTGGTTCGTGTCCACCTTTGCAGAGGAGAAGGTTTCTGCGCATGAAGCGGCAGAAGTACGGTTACATCTACCGCACGCACCTCTTCGGCAACCCCACGGTGCGCGTTACCGGAGCGGACAACGTCCGGCAGATTCTGCTGGGGGAGCACCGGCTCGTGTCCGTGCAGTGGCCCGCGTCCGTACGCACCATCTTGGGCTCGGACACGCTGTCCAACGTGCACGGAGCCCAGCACAAGACCAAGAAAAAGGTGAGTTGTGATTTCATTTGAAACCGTCGTCAGTGTCACAGTACAGCCTGGAACTACCGTTCGCTTTGTAAATAACCGTGTTATTGACACGTTGTCCTTTTAAGCAGTTTCATGGCTACTTTAAGTACATCAGTAAGGAGGAGCATATATCCTGAATTATAGGAAGCACAGCAACTAACATCTTTTTATTTTGTTTTATTAATGTAATAATGAATAGGCTAGTCTTATCAATACTGTGTCTGATGATTAATCACTGAACAAATAAGTATGGTCATTTCTGATCATTGAATCCTAAAAACTTTATTATTTTTGAAATAGTGACAGTCAGCGTTGTCCACAAAGTAATGTCTGTGTCTAAATACAAACCAAACGCAGCTGCACTGGAGTTGATGGAGCTGATTTAAATAAATACTTGCAATGAATAGATTAGCATTAACAAAAGTTCAAACCATATTATATGGTTTGAACTTTTGTTAATGCTCCGGCAGATTGTTCCCCTTTGCTCCAAGAGAAATAAACTTTAAGGGCTGGATTACACACCAATGACTTGATAAGGGGTTGTTTGCAGTGCACTGAGGCAACATAATACATTCTACTGTCAGTCAAATAATACCATACGCATGGGCTTCTGCTTCCAAAAATCTAACGCCCCTGCCCTTCTCCAGGCCATCATGCGGGCTTTCTCCACTGAGGCTCTGGAGCTCTACATCCCCATCATCCAGGAGGAGGTGCGGGCCGCGGTAAAGGAGTGGGTGGCCAAGGACTCCTGCGTTCTGGTCTACCCGGAGATGAAGCGGCTGATGTTCCGCATCGCCATGAGGATCCTGCTGGGCTTCGAGCCGGAGCAGATCAAGACCGACGAGCAGCAGCTGGTGGAGGCTTTTGAGGAAATGATCAAGAATCTGTTCTCTCTGCCCATCGACGTGCCCTTCAGCGGACTGTACAGGGTAAGAGACAAACTCATGATCCACTTCCAGCTACGCTACCCTTTTTTCAGTCGTTAAAGTTCATCCTCTTACATTGTGTTTCTCTGCCCTCCATTCATCCTTCCCTCCCTTATTTCCACCTCTCGTCCGTTCATTCACTGCCTCCTCCTGCCTTCCTCTCCTCCAGGGTCTGAAGGCAAGGAACTTCATCCACTCCAAGATAGAGCAGAACATCAAGAAGAAGATGCAGGAGTCGGACAAGGAGTCCAAACACAGAGACGCTCTGCAGCAGCTCATAGACAGCAGCAGGAAGAACGGGGAACCGCTCAGCATGCAGGTAGTGACGCGATCATGTCCCGTTGACATTGTCAAACTACACATCTGAATAAACTAACAAAAGCTTCCTCCACCCTTCTTATAAGCCACTGTTTTAGTTGGGGCCTGAACTAATTGTGTCTAAACTTCTGTTTCCAGGCCATTAAGGAGTCTGCTACAGAGCTGTTGTTTGGGGGCCATGAAACCACAGCCAGCACAGCCACCTCCCTGGTCATGTTCCTGGGCCTGAACCCTGAAGTTGTGGATAGACTGAGGCAGGAACTGATGGATAAGGTAATTACACTGTGCAACTTAAGTTCTATACGTTTTTGTTCCAATGCCTTTTAATGGGGGCTGCTGCGATGAACATTAGACAAAACAGACTATCTGGTGTAACTTTTCATCTCATTCACTGATGATATCATGAAAGAAATGTATTAAAGGTGCTAAACACAAACTTCAGAGCATATCTATTGCTCCGCACGGCTCCCAACATGGTGATGGCTGAGCCGGTGGCTTGCATCCAACAGCACTAACAAGTTTGCAAATGCTCTGAATATTCAGTCGAGGACGTTTAGGCATGAGCATGAAACAACTTCAACATACTTCAACAAATGAAGTTTGCTCAGTTGTCATAGTCACTCACGTGATGATGTCTGAGCTATCTCCAGCACAACGGAACACACTCCAGCTGCTGGTGGAAACCATGAGATGCTGAGTGAACCTCTGGGGGAGAAAGCTAGTGAGAGGACTATGATTGTGCTTAAGCATCTTAGCGATTTGGGTGGAAAAGTGTCTGCGAATACAACTCTACTGTAATATAATTCCTTTATTCAAATGAAACGGTAGGGTTAGTATACCCTATGCTTGCCATAGAGATGGTAATCCACAGTGACGCTTTCTCATTCATTAGTGCAAGGCATGTTGCACCTTGATCAGGAGCCAGGTCTGATGACCAGTGTTTTTTTGAGTTACTGTAGAGCTGGTCCTCGGCTTCTCCTCACATGCAAGTTTGTCTCTGTCTTTAGGAGGAGCAGGGGATGGAACTCCACAGTCTGAACATTGAGGCCTTGGAGCAGTTGAAATACACAGGCTGTGTCATTAAAGAGACTCTGAGGATCAACCCTCCTGTTCCTGGAGGCTTCAGAGTGGCCCTCAAGACCTTTGAACTCAATGTAAGTTAACAAAGATCTCTGTGAAGCGATTGTGTAAATGGCAGATTGAAGCTGTATCTGCTTACTGATCATTTCCCCTCACCAACTCAGGGTTACCAAATTCCCAAAGGCTGGAACGTCATCTACAGCATCTGTGACACCCATGATGTGGCAGAGATCTTCCCCAACAAGGAAGACTTCCAGCCGGAGCGCTTCATGACCAGACCCTCGGCCGACTCTTCCAGGTTCCAGTACATCCCGTTTGGAGGGGGCTCCAGGATGTGTGTGGGGAAAGAGTTTGCAAAGGTTCTGCTGAAGATCTTCCTGGTGGAGGTGGTCACAAAGTGTCACTGGACCCTTTTAAACGGGCTACCCACCATGAAAACGGGACCTACTGTCTATCCCGTGGACAATCTGCCAACCAAGTTTACCAGCTATGTATAAAAATGAAAATGATGATGAGGGGTCGTGTTTCCTAAAAGCAGGGAAGAGTTGAATAGTGAGGTTTCCCAAAGGTCTCATCTATGTTTTGCCTCCAAATCCACGGGGGAACTACAGTAAAAGGAAGTCAATGGGGAGTTTTTGGGAATTTAGAAAGTTCTAAAGCAACCGATCAAAGGCTGCATTTATTCAAGAACAGAAAATACCTTCGTAATTCAGATTTTTTGGACTTGGTCAATGTGGGTTTTTCGACATGGCATATATTGTACATATTGTAGATGACTTAAGAACGTACTTTACAGTTTATATTATGATGTTAATACATTGGATCTGTATACATTTATGTTTGTTTGAACAAACTAAACGAGAGGCACTATACACAGAAATGGAACACTTTAATCAGCTCAGAGGTGTATCCATAGGATTATGTACATATGTAGAGTCTGTTTATATAACTTTTGTATCTTACCCCAACTTATTTAAGTGACTTATGTTATATTGTAAGGGCTTTTTATTTAATAAAACTGTTATGCGGAGAATCTTGTTTTATTTCATTCCAATTAAATTGCAATGTGAGAGTGAGCGGAAAATATGGAGATGAATCTATTGTCCGCGTATCAAGTACAGAGCTGGAGGAAGGTTAGCCTAACTTAGCATAAAGACTGGGAGAGAGCTAGCCTGACTGTCACTGATTAACACTTGTGGTGCAGAGTTAGAACATCTCTGTAGCCTGCCCCTCCCCTAAAGTTTCATTAACTGCTAACATGCCGGAATGTAGCCGACTGGTCTGGTGGCATTATGGGTGATTTAGGCACCAGGAGTTGACAAGGAAGAAGAATGCATGGAATAAAAAAAGGATATCTGGTTCTGTTGCATCATTTTTATTTCAAACTGTCCATTGTGAGTCAGAACAATATCAGGCAGCGCTACATAGGTGGAGTACTTTAAAAAAAAGTCAACAAGACATGCTGGAACTATTTCTTCTCAAACGTGTATCCTCTCACCCAGCACTTCTGTTCCAGCTATAGCGCAGGTAACCAGATATGTTTCTTTTTACCTGTTCACCAAGAATTCCTTTTGAAATCACACATTTTACATCATTTACACTTCTTCTGTATATCGATGAAACAAACAAAGTGCAACATGCTGATTATTGATTTGTATAGGTGTTGGTAGGGTGTGTTTAGTATCTTTTCACTTTGGACAGAGTCAGTCTAGTTTAGCCCTGCTCCCAGTTTTTATGCTAAGCTAGGCTAACTACGTTCTGACTCCAGCTCCAAATGTAACACACAGACATGTGATATATCAATCGTCTCATCTAACTCGGACAAATCTGAGTTAAAGTAAAAAGAATAAGTAGCTTTACTGCAGTACTCGTGTTGATCTGTATGAGGTAAAGAGCAGCTCTCATGGTTATTTGAAAAGGTAAAGTTTGCTGATGGCAGTTAATGTATTTTACTCTGTAGACATAGGGTGGGTGGTCCTGACACACACACGCACATTCCATTATCCTTACAGAATCAATAAGTTGTGCAGAGAAAAGAAAAATAGGAGAGAAATCTGGAATCCATAGAAGGAGGGAAAGCAAAGCAGAGACCTGATGACCCTGGCAGATGAGCAGATAGAGGGTGAAACAGAGTTCATACTGATCAGTTAAGTTTCAGGGCACTGAACCCCTATAGACCTTCAGTGGAACCGTGGAAGTAGGCCAGTAGCATGGGTACATGTTTAGTGCAGGGTCAGAGAATAGATTCCCACATTTAGGACAGCAGACAGTCAATGGATTGCTGTTGAATGCTTATGTTGCAATTTGTCAATGAAAAGCAGTTAACAAGTGTGGATGTGTGTGCTTAAATAGACCACTATGTTGGAAGACTGGGTGTGTAGGTGGCAGAGAGATTCGCTGAGGATAAGATGATCTGGGTGGTGATAAGATTCCGAGGTGGAACGAAGTGTATGGGATTCATTTTGTTAATAAAAATGCAAAGAAACAATAAGTACAGCCCAAAATTGCTATTATTATTCCAAAATATCACAATATCGCAAGTTACTGACCTGCTGCATGTACACACATATTCACAGTAACTGGGCCCAGTTCTTTGTTTGTGTACAACAGAGTTATTCAGATTAGAATGTTGATGATTTGACATGAATCTGGATTTCTTCATTCTTTGAAGCTGGTTATCTCAGCCTGGTGTAAGCCTGTGAGGAGATCATGTGTTCGGTTGTGGGTGAGTGCGTGTGTGTATCTCTGTGTCTGTCTGTGTCACAGCTTACTGCTGGTTCCATCAGCCTAATATCTTTTGTGCTCATTTATAACTGTATGCTCAAGGACCGCTCGTGGTTGCAGATATTAACAATTGAAAAACAACAACTAATAAATCCCTGTTTATATTAACTTCGCCGCCGTCTTTGAGTGAGGTGCAAATCCTTCAGCCTAAACCTGTAAAAGTGTAGTTTATTGACCGTTAGCTGGGCCGTGATCCATACCTTTTACTGTCAACCAAGTACACAAACTCATTTTCAGACACAAATAGCTGGCTTTTCCTGAGATGGATGGAAGAGCATTGATATAATTCTGATTTTAAATGAGAACACGCATGTTACAATAACATGTTCATAATGAAAACTTACCTATAATTTTACATAATGAAGATAAAACAAAGTACAATAGTTTGGGATGCTGTGAGCAAAAACCCATAAATTTAATTACAAGATAATGACTGTTAAAAGTTAAAAGACCTGAACATTGTCCAGGGAATTAGAGCTGTTTTTAAAGAACTTTTAGTATGGTTTCAAATTTCATAACAGGCTCATGATTATCACTTAAAAGTCTCTTGCATGTGATGGGAGAGAACCTCACCTATCATGCACAAACTGGTCTGACCCCATTTATTGGTAATGTTTAACAGTAATGAAATGGTGGAAACATTGCGGAGCAATGTAACCTGGTTTCTCCATGCAACCTGGTTATCCAGAAGTACATGCAAAGGCACGCATCGACAGTGAATGTTCTAAAGTGTAACACTTTTCAAAAGTCTTCACCCAGCTTGTTATATGAGAGCCAGTGTTTCTGCAGGCTAATGGCAGCTTTACTGGCAGATGTGCTTTGGCCTCTTTCACAAGTTGTTTCTCTTTCTGGTGCTCTTCTGATTTACACCCAGCCTCCCTCCACTCCATGGCCACTTCTTAGCATTGTGCTGTTGTCCCTGGCCCTTGTTTATTACTGTGCGACTTGTGATTATTGGATCCACAAATGCTGAACTGTTGTACTTATTGTAAGTCACCGTTGATAAGAGTTTCAGCTTAATGGCCAAATTGTAATAGTAAATTGTAGCTGACACCTTTATGTCCGGCCATCCTATCCCCGCTAGTCCAGCCCTAGAGCGATGTGAATGAACTTCTCTGAACTTTGCCTCCTCTCCTCATTCTAAAGAGCGTCTGCTTCCCTCCATTGTTTTCCATCACCCAGTGGAGACAAAACTTTGCACAGCCAAGGCCATTTTCATCTAAATTTGTGACCATTGTAGTGAATTTACAACACAGCGTTGAAAGAGGTTTGAAACTAGCTTGCTTTCAATTAGATCCTCAGGCCTGAACATGGTCCAGAGTAAATCATTGTAATAGCTACAGAAGTAGTGTTATTGAAGGCAACACTTTTATACACCAAACCACTTTGTTGCCATGAACAGCGCCTGGGAGAGGTGGAGGGTGGAGGCTGGAGGAAGCAAGGACAACCACCATGAAAGGAGAAGAAAATCTGGTCCGCCTCACAAGGTCTGTTTGTTTTCAAGATTTTAAATATCCATGTGCAACCCTGTCTCCTACCAAATTACGTTCCCATACAACTAAACTGCATTCTCACAAAGGTTTCGAGGGAAACTTATTTTCTGCCGGTCATGTGGTTGACGTTGTAAATTGAAACAAAACAGAAACGCAGCAAAACTACCTGGTAATGTTTGTAACACATCATGGTTTGACTTCCTTTTTTTTACGTTAAACACCGTATCCCATCCTACTCTCAGACTATCGGGCTTCTCTGACGACACTTATTTAATCTCTCTGCATTCCCTACAGCGGATGATCTTTTAAATAATTGTCACAGAAGAAAAGCTTTCCCTGACACTTTCTCCTTCATATGTCAAATTTACAGGGGGCTGTTTGCACTCTGATAAGGACCTTAAAATCCAACAAATGGTCAGCAGAAGAAGGAAATAATCTTATCAAATGAAAGTCCCTTGTCTTAATGCTATCATTATGTTGTAATAGCATTATGTGCTTAACCAGCTACTGTGAGGGTGCACTTTAACTTCAATGGCAGTTATTTGGCCTGATGACCAAGCTCGTTTAGAATCAATCGGCTTATAGAGTCTGTGCTGGAGAAGTCAATGTAAGTCAATGGGAGTGTTAAGTCCTCAAACTGCGTTTGCACAGCGTCTGCTGGCCCCTCGGCCCCTGCTGTGGAGTCAGATGAGTGCCCAATAAGAGATGCTAACGGGGTCGTTAGCATGGCTGTTGGTGGCTCACTGTGATTATTCATAATTGAGTGACCGTTGACAAGTTCAGTAGGTCAGAAAGAGTTCAGCACCCTGGGAGAGCGGTGCTTATTACACCAACACTACTCTGATCAAGGTGTACCTACTGCTGTTAGTGGTAAAATGCCTGAAATGTAAGAGGATCATTTACAATTGACTGTAGCTTATCATGTAACCGGCATTGTCAGGATGTGTCCATCCAGGTCTTCCTGTGTCCAAAGGGATCACAGTCACACTAATTCAAGATTTGTTACAATAAGTCTTTATTCATAAAGTTCGGGAAAAATAGTTGGTCACACCGTCTTAGTCTTAGTCTTAGTCTTAGTCTCCCTCTTTGTCTCTCAAAAGCTTCCTCTTTCTCCCATATGTGTAGCAAACTAGGGAATAGATTCAAGAGGATGATTTAAAATAGATGAGATGAACATCGGCTACTTTGACTGAAAGTCTGACATTAGCATTACATTGCTGTGGTTTGAAAGCAACAGTACGGCATTTCAACAACACAGCCACCTCGTTAAGGGCACAGCATGGTCTCTGTGCTGGCTGTACCCAATATCACATTTATTTTTACATTCAAGGAAAGATCAAGGTTTTCCAATGAAGTTTTGAATATCTGCCGTCATCACCCTAAAAACATGCAAACAAAATTCTTTCAAAAATATATAGTATGCCATAAAAGGTGATAGAAAATAGCCATTGTGTAAATGACCAGTATTCTATGCCACATACGTGTCAAACAACATAGTATACAGTCACAGAATATGTTGTTCAACACGAAATAGATCTTATTGAAGAGCAGTGACTTTGTTCTGATAGTCTTTGTTGTTGTTTTTTTGTCTTTACACTCAGACCTGTCCAATACGCACAATTTGCACACAACTGGCACAGCAACAGTACCTTCACTTATTATTTATGTTTACCAACATGGCATGTTCTCCTTTAATATGGTGCAAAGCTGTTCCAGTAATCACAATGCTATAAGGAAATGGGTCACAGACCAAACTTGGGTTGATTTGACCTGTGTTGGCTACAATGTTGGTTCTGCTAGTGTATGCTGACGTGGTCTTGTTCACTATTGTTATGTATGATTTTGATCCATATCTGAGATTCATTTGTATTCACAGTCATATCATTATTTATACATGTGATAGATGTGTACAACATGATTGTGCAGTACAATGTTGAGGATATACATGTATTACCAAAGGAGACCAGACGGATCAAAAGACCTTCAGAGGGTTTCAAAAGCAACATGAAGTGTCTGAGTATGGAGTCAGTCTGAGATGTAGAAAGAGACATGGATCCTTCACAGAACAATCAACTAAATGCGTTTATGTTTTGTGTTAAATATTGGGCAGTTTGTTATTAGTAACTCAGCTGTTTTGACAGTGACTTCGGTAACTTTGCACTGAATTTTGAGGAAAAGTTTCTCAACATGAAAAAACTATTTGTCATGATCAGGGTTTTAGTCATTTCTTTATGAATCTGCATCTCATTACTCTGACAACCTACAGTGCTTTAAGAAAGATCAGACTTAGCTCTCAACATTCATTGTTTTATGACATTAATTGTACCATACAGACATTACAGGCATCTGTATATGTGTTGAATCAGCATATCTTCCTCTGCACACACCACTGCATCCCTATAATGAGTAGCTGCCAGTAGTACACACACTGCTGCTTTAACTCCAGTTAGCCATTTGAATTTAAAGTCAAGACGTACCATATCATAACAAGGCCAGATTGAGGTTCTCTGTTGAGTCGAACTCGAAGACAACCCCACCTAGAGGTCGGCCGAGGGATGGAGCGTCAGTGTGGATGACAAACCCACGAGGAGAGAAGCAAACCCTGCAGTACTCCCCACTGGCATCTGTGTCCATTTCAATCTGCAGAAGAGCTTTGGTCCCTTGTTTAACCCACTATT